CGTCCCCATTGACCAAGCGTTTGATTTTTACGTGCTGGACGAGCCGGGCGTCAGTATCTCAGAGATAGCAACTGCAAAAGCACCCCCTCCACGTGTTCTTCAAAGGCTCCGTGACAGTGCAGAAAGCCTTTTCCTTATTTATCTTGGAACCAAAAAACTTTTTTTTTTCTTTTAACTCTCAGAGAATCTATGCTAATTATTCGAACCCGTGGGTCTCCCACTAACACAACCCAGCCCTGCTTTCTGCAACGTTTAGTTCGCATATCTCCGAATGCATATTCATCCCCTCACTCACTCTTTTGGTGTGTTTTACCACCCGTCTCCTTGCTTCTAATTTCAATAGTTTGGAAAAAAAAATCAGATCTTGGGACATTTAGGGTATTCATTAACCTAGTGAAGAGGAACAGAGGCATTATTACTCACATAGAAGGCACCCTGCCCCCATGTCTATCTAAGGGTTCATTGTAAAAGGATTAAAAGTTAAAGACCTTCATCTTATGATTCTTTCATTTAATCTTCGTGGCGCCTGAAAGACATGCTGGATGGATGATCACATTTAAAATATTCCTAATGTCGGCTACCTTAGGACTCCAGGCAGGGCAAACAAACGTAATTTATTTCTAGAAGAAAGGGGATATTGAGATGTTTAAGTTTATGAACCACCATTACCATGTATATTTGTTAGGTTCTGACAAATACCCAAATAACATTAAAATCAGCCATTCATCACATATGAATTTATGCAAAACCTTCTATGCCTGGGGCCAATATTTTTTTAGACAGAGTTTCACTTGCAAAAAAAAAAAAAAGTTTATTTAAAAAAAAAAAAGCCAAAGCAAGAGTTTTTCATGACTGGTAAACACGAGAATTATGTGAACAGAAACTATTTCATGCTGGGATGGCAGCCAGCGACTCGGGAATGTCAACAAAAGTTCTCCGAAGGTTGAAAATGTCACTGGATTACAATACAAGGTCCTTTGCCCCATTAGCAAGCTTTACTAAAGTAATATTCTCACTACTTAGCTAGAGGACTCACCCAGTGATTTATCTGTCTGTGATCAGAGCAATGGGGCAAACAGAGACTCCATCTGGAAACTACCTCTGACTGCTTGGTTAAAGATTTTAAAATGTTATGCATGCAGGGATGCATGTGTTTGTGTGTGCTATGTGAGTGTAAAGTAAGTGTGTTATTAATATATCATCTAAATATCTGTCTCCATGTCTGTCTTGTCTTGTCATCTGATAGTCATTGTAATCAATAAGATGTAGGTACATACATACTTTCTCTACTAATAACGCCCTGTTCCTAATACATTTCCAAGAATATTTCAGGTTTAAAAAATCAGGTTTCACCATCCACAAGGCTTTTTTTAAAATAAATAACTAAATTTTGTCAGCTGTTAGAGCAAAAATAAACTAATAGTTTTCACTGTTGTTTCTGGTCAGGTTCACTTTCTGGTCCTCCTGCTCTAGTGTTGAAATATTTGGCTTGTAGTGGAAGTGTTTCAAGCCAAACAAATAAAATATCTTTCTGATGAATGTTTCTATGCAAATCTTTTTAATATTAGATTTTGTAATATGTTTTTAAAACAAAATTGAATTATGACTCTTTTAAATTGAAATCAATTCATAACACAGCCAAGTTTTGTTTGCTGATCTTTGTAGTGGTATCATAAGACCTCACAGAGACCACTGTGGGGAAGAAATAAGAAGGGAAAGGTTGAAAGGGAACTCATAGTTGCTGTTCAGTTTCTTCTTTTGCAATTTCAGTGCCTTAAAGTGTAATACTGGAAATATAAATCCATTTCTACCTCTGCCACAAACTCTGTAACCTTGGATGAGTCCTTTGACTTATGTGCTGCAACTCCCTGTCAGGAGTACAGGACTTCATCTTCTTTATCTGTGTGGTTAGTCTCTGTCCAGAGTAACTTGTTTTCTCACATCATGCGATTATACAAAATCTAGCAAAGTAAGGCCCAGTGTTCAAGGGGATTACTCGATGGTACCGGATTTAGCATCCAAGCAGTTGTTTTTGCCAGTGCAGAACAGTATCTTATGTAGCATTTTTGAAAGCTTTATACTTCAATTTATCAGAAAAAGTATGTGACTTTTAGAGCAAGTTGTTCTGTTGTAGACTGATTTGAAAGTGCTAAGAGTAATTTGGTTGATAAAAGGATAAAAAATGAAGACCAGAGGTAAGGTTTCCAAAGTTTTGGAAGAAGGTCATTCTAGATCAGTCCAGTTCATATTAAGAAAAAGAACTAACTAGGAAAGCTTTGTTGCACACACCGTTACGGTATGGTGTGTTCTCTCACTTGTAGGTAACTGTGAAAGTGTATGTGATTCGTTTTGCCCCTTTAAGAATACCACCACAAAGATAAGTTCTTCCTGAGATTAGATGAGCACATGGTAGAATTATCACCAAAATAACCACAGCTAGACATTAGAGCAGCAGTGTTTGTATAAACACTGGACAAGTTTTTTCTCTTCCATAGTTTTAATAGAGAAATATCCTTAATTTAGTAACGTCAACAGCTGTTAAAAAAATTCCTAGCCGTTCACATTACTTGGGTTATGTTATATAAATGTAATCTGCACCATGTTGGCGGGATCTTGGATCCATTAAAAAGAAGATATTCCAGCTCGGAGATTTGCCAGGACTCTTCATTGAAAGTTGAAATAAATATAATGACGTCATCATATAATGTAACATCATAGCTTTCAAGGTAAGCCAAACCAAAGGTATGTTGGCAGGGGAATGCTGCCACCTGGTAGATCCATGCTAGGAATAGATACGATACTCTCATCCAGTGGGGAGGAGAATGGCCACACTCTTCCTGGATTACCCACAAGGATCCTGCAGTCTTTCTGTGCATGTAAGTCCTCTGGGAGTTTTAGTACACGCAAGGGCTGCAGAATCTGTGTCAATGCTCTCTTTTAAGAGAGCAGCTACAGCAAATTTGAAGAGACCCTTTCATTCCCTCTTCCTTGCTCACAAACCGAGCAAGAAGCTCCAATGGTTAAAAGAAAAGGAATGAATACGTTCACTTGAAACAACTGTTGGAATGGTTCAGAGGGGAACAGAAATATTCAGCAATCAGCATTAAAGACTCTAAGTCCTTAGAGGTGTTACTGCAGGATCAGCAGCTTACAGCCTCTTTCATGAAGGCTGGGTACCAATATATTGCTGTTAAGTCTCTTGCCATTCTGCGTAGGGAGAACCAGCTGTTGTATGTGATGGGCTTTCTAAGGACTTTGGGAGAAAACATACTGGAAGAGAAATCTGCATGGGTACAACTGCACAGTGAGTCACTTTTCTCCGCTGAAGTGGAGGACAGGGGCTGCAGAGATGGCACAATTTAGCTTCTAACTCTTTAAATGGATAATTTAGATGTAAGCCAGCTGAGAACAGATGTCCTGGCGGCTCACTGGTTGTACCGTCTGTCTTCTCTAGGCATGCCATTAAGTGTGGATCAGTCCCATGAATGGGCCTGAGCCTAATCTCAGAACCAGACCAAACTGTTGGTGTGCTTAGGCCCAGTCAGTATGCAAATATCCCAGAAAGTTTAACAGCCATTCCTGCAAGGGCTTCCCCTGGCAGTGTGCAGATGCACCTTTGCAAGTGAGCTACCACCAAGGTAAAGCCACCAGTATTGACTGAAGGCACACTGGTAATAATACTTCATAGGTGGAGTCTACTCTTCACCTAAGACAGACATTCCCCAGGACTCAGGTCTCTCCCTTAGAGAATCCAAGAGTGCTAGCTGCA